TTTCACGCAATGTGTTTAAAAGTATGAATGTGATAAAAAAAATCATCAGCAAAGAAGAGTATCTTGGAAACATTTCTATTATAATAGTTTGCTTGGGCTCCCATAACAAGATGACACAGAATAGGTGGGATTAAGCCACAGATTATTTTTTTCACAGTTGTGGAGACTGGAAGGCCAAGACTACAGCCCATCATTCAGTTTCTAGTGAGAGCGCTCATCTCAGCTAGAGAAGGGCCCCTGTTCACTGTGTTCTTGTATTACCTTTTCTCTGTGCTTAAAGGGAAAGGGGGATGGAGATCTCTGGTGTATCTTTTCTTATGAGGAACTGCTAGTCTGTGGGATTACTGCCCCACCTTACTGCCTCACTTAATCTTAATTAACTCCAAAAGATTCTGTCTTCCAAATCATCACATTGGGAATTAGGATTTAAATATATAAATTTGGGGAGAAAATACGATTCAATACCTAGTCCCAATCTCCAGAGAAGCCATTTTTAGCTACTTTCTGATTTTAGTTCTTCTGGTTATTTTGTAATTTCATTATATATTTATGTGCCTGTTTTTGAACTACAGATATTTAGACTTATCTCTTGGCTACACATAATGATTAGAAATTAACTGACTTATTGCTTAGCTCTCATAGTATCAGAAACAGATAAAGTGAACTCTAACCAAAATTTATAGATTATTTTCATCAGAGCATAATTAAACATCTAGTGTCAATGCTGTTTGTTTTTCCCAGTCATCATTGCCATTGTCAATGAAGCAAAATTCAACTCCCCATGAGCAATTTTTTTTTCATATAAAAAACATTTGTACTCAAGATACATTGTTTTAAAACTTAAGTTATTGATAGCCAATAATTTGTTTACTAACATGCATTTATTAGCACATGTACAATTGTTTTTTCTTCTTTGTTTTAACACACAATTTTACCCTAAAAGTAGTTCACAAATTACAAAAAGAAATACTGTAGAATTCAGCACAATTATTTCATAAGAAGAAAATTTATTTCATGTGGTGAATAAATATTTTAGTAACAAATCTGTCAGTTATTTTTCTAGGACTGTTTCAAAAGTACTATTTCCACTAGTTGATGTAAAACACATTATTTAGCAAGGTGTGACATTTCAAGTGTCACAGGTGGGAAACATGCAATGAGGTAACAATCTTTAATTTCATTAGTTGCAAGTAAGCTGGTGGATAAGCCATGATTTTAGGTGTGTACAGCATTTCTATGAAGTCGTCTGAATGTCAGTGATAATCAGGAATAGATAAGGCCTTGGAGACATGTCAAGTGTGTCCAGAAACCCACCTCTGGAGGCTAAACATTCCCCTAAGCCCAATCCACAACTTTAAGACAGCTACAATTTTAACTCATGGTATGGTTCATAAGTATTGAGAAGCAAATTCCATCTTGGTTTGGAATTACATTAGTACCTGTCTTGAAAGATAACCTGTGGAGTACAAGTATAGCTAAAGCTTGTGATCGTTTAAAAGGAGCACTGCCTGGGAATGGACATTTCATGCCCAGCCATCATCAAGATCAGAAAGAGCTCACAGCTTCAGAGTGAAGAAGCCCCTTTGATTGCTTTAGTATTGTATTATAGGCTGAAAATGACTAAGAAACCAGTCCCTGAAGATGAGTTGTGTTTTGAAGTGAATGTGCACAGTATAGTTGTAACTCTAAATAACCAACATTTGTAAAATCATCTTTTATTCTATTGTATGACTACCAATCCACATTGGGCCTCATAATTATAGCTCTGTAGATCTAATAACTAGATGAGTGATTCAGATCCAGCCCAATATGGTCATATAATAAAATTTTTGGTTTAGACATCATAACCAAAAATGAGACAAAGAAACTTTTCCTGGGTTGCATGTTTAGGCTCTAGAGAAAGAGAGCAGATCTACAAGATAAGAAAAGCAGATTCTGCTTCCTTAGAGCTTTTCTTTTTCTTCACTATGAAAACGTATTTTGAGAAAGATGTATATACAGGGGACTTTAAAATGAAAGATGTTATCAAATTCCTTATTTCTATAAACTCCGAGACCATTTTTTGCCCAAGTTTCAAGAGTTAGTTGGTGTCCAGCCTGTTCCATTAAACAGCAGATGATTCGTATGCGTGGCTCAAAATTCCTACTTGTGGCTAGTTACAAATATTCCTTGAGTTCACATCAAGTTATACTATGAGACAAGCCATAAAGAGCAAGTCTTACTTGCTGGGTCTCATAAGCTAAAATCTTGCCAGTTCTTCCAGGCAACACTTAGCACAGTTGGGTCAAATCAGGTAGTTCCTTGTGAAGAGAAGATTAACTATTTCAACCCAACTCAAAGCTAAGCATTTTCCCTCCTCATGTTTAATAACAGCAATATATTTCTATGAAGACATCCATGTCTCAATGATAATCAGGGATGGGTATGAATTTTGTGGATGACTGGATGACATCCTATTACCTTTTCAGTTTCATGTTATTCAAACTCTTTGGTTATATCAGGGAACATGATGTTAGATTGAGCCAACACTGACAATTCTTTCTTGTAGTCATCAACCAAGTTAATAGCATTTGGCACTGCTTAATCTTCAGTATGAAATGCTGTGTAAAGTGAGCAGCTCAGGTGTTGACATGATTCAGGTGATTCTGTTGAGCATCTTACACTATGTCAATATCTGCATTTGACATCACAAGTCTTTGAGAAAGCATAGATTCTTTTAATTTGACCTGGGATTCAGACTCTTCTTTCTTGGAGATGGTGATGAGGTTAATGACAATGCCTGTTCAGAGACAAACTCTTGCCCTGTGAAACATCACCTGCACAAGGGTTACGTCAACTGTGTATCATGTGGTTGGAATGCATGTTCAAGAATCCAGCCTTGTAGAAGCCCCTCAGCCATTGCCATTAGTTAGAGGATCAACCTACAAAACTGTTTGATTATACTCTTTTGAGCTTTGACCCTGCTTATTTTGGGTGAGATGAGAGTTTTCAAGCAGTTCATAGTCATCTTGCATGTTAGGGACACTTTGCCTCATGTCCCTGGTAACCTTTTGGACTGGAAGACCAGTGCTGTTCTTTGGAGAAACTCTCTGGCCTCGGTATGCCTGAGCCTGGCGTTTACAAATGCCAAATTTACTGAGCAAGATGAATACATCCCTCTGGAAGGCCTTGGTGAAAATGGCATAGAGAAATGGATTGGCGCAGGAGTTAAGTGGATAGAAGAGAACCAGCAAGATTTTGGAGTTAGTCACGGTGATGAGAGGCTTGTTCATCAGTGCTGACAGAGCATAGAATGAGATTGGGGCCATGCACATAAAGTCAGTAAAGATTAACACAGCCATCCTTTTGGCAATTTTGGTGTCTTTGTCCCCAGGATTGTATTGGGGATTTCGGACTGTGATATAGATCTTCGCATAACAGGCACAGACGATGATAAAAGCAACTATGTTGAGCAATAGAACAAGGATAATATATGCCAGGGCTAGAGGGGTCTCAGTGTCCATGGGCAGGCATATGCTGACCTTGGCATAGCTACTTATTCCTACCAAAGGGAGTAGGGCCAGTAGGAAGCAGCAAATCCAGCCCCCGACCATGATGGCATATGCATGTCTGAGGCGGATTTTCCGGTCCAGGCGCATGGCAAAAGTGATGGCATACCAGCGCTCCAGAGTGATCACTGTCAGTGTATATACGGATAACTCACTGGCAAACACTGTGAAGAAACCAGCTGTGTTGCACCCAGGACCTGTCTGCCAGTCAATGGCATGATTGTAGTACTCAGAATGAGTGTAGAGGTCTACGGAGGCGATAAGGAGCAGATACATCCCCATGCAGAAATCTGCAAAGGCCAAGTTGCACATGAGAAAGCGTGGGACGGTCATTTTGTAGTGGCTGGTGAGGAGGATGACCAGGACAAAGACATTGCCCAGGAGCGCCAGCAGACTGACAAACCAGACTATGATTCTCAGGAACTTGTAGCCCATTATGTCTTCGCAGGGGTTAAACTCATCTGACTTGGGGGTACACACCATGTCTTCGTTTCCCCCACACACAGTATAATCATAATGGTTATCAAAGGCCTGTAGGGTCTCTTCCTGGGGGTTTTTAAGCTCCTGGCCAAAACCAATGATCTCATCTTCTTGTTCTTCAAAGAAGACATAATAATGAGAGTTGCTATGGATATCCTGGAACTTGGAGTTTTCCTTGTAACTGGCACTGCCATCAGCTGGGTCCTCTTCATAGTCCTGGTAGAAGGGGCCGTTCAAAGCATTCACAGATTTTCTCTGGCGCAGGCTGTGAATACTGCTCTCATTACACATTAAGGACTCGAGGATACTGCAAGGCAACAGACACAAGTCACTATCTGATGAAAATGCTACCAGTTTCCCTAGTACTTAGCATATCTATTTCAGATAGAGTTTTTAAGTATGAGATGAATTTATCTTTTAAAGCTCTAAAACAGCACCTGAATGTTATTAGGGCCATGTATGTGTTGGGTATTGTTATTATTATTATTATTCCTGTTCAGAACTTTAGAACTCCATGTTTCCTTTTGTTACCTGGACAAATCATGGCTGCTTTTACTCATCTTTAATTTTAAATTCAAATTCCCTTTCCTCAGAGGGTTCTTCCTTAAACTTCTTGAATAAATTGCCCATGTTTGTGTTTAATTCCTCTGTCTGGCACTATCTGATCCCTTTTTGTGTTCTTTCCTGTTTAGTTTTGACTTCCCCTAGTGGAATGTCATCACAGCACAAAAGGGTTCTTGTCTGTCTTATTTATTATTGTGGAGATGCATACTAGATGCTCAACAAATACTGAATGAGTGCATGAATTGGTGCTATCATGCGGTCAAGTTCATGGATTCAGTTTTTCACTAGCCCAAAAGACTTATATTGAAAGGGAATTCTTTAACTTGCTTCAGCTGCTTCACTGAGTTTGCTTCATCTATTGGGCTCTGGCAAAAATGCCCAATGGAATTCTTATTTTAACCTGTTGAGGGGTTAATGAAAAATCTGGAGCTGTCCCTAAGGCACACTTTATCCTACCACCTTCCCCAAACCTTTCCTATTCAGGGGCGCGGGGCATCCGTATAGGGCCGTTCCGAGCCCACTCAAATTTTTCTTCAGGTGTTGTGCTTGGATTGGCTTTCTTTGCACAGCTGTCTTACTTTCCTGTTTGTTCCTGCCCCCACATTAGATCTCAGTTTATTTCTGACTTCAAGTATAAGTGCAGAAAATCAGCCAGTAGGCATGCTAAAGAAACCAGGGAGTGAGAAAGACAAATATGAAGATAGTGTTAGGAGAAAAGGGGTTTGCCTGGGATATGAAGAGCAAAATAATGCAGGTAAAAGTATAGGTGGGAACAAGATTGAGCATGAAGAGGAAAAGCAGAACATCATTCCATTGTAGCCTGCAACTAGCCTGATAATAAAACCATGCAGATCACACACAACTAGTAGTATTGAGAACATTGATATTCTAGGTCATTGTGAGAGGCCTTTTCTATTCAGTGTCTCATCATGATAGCATTATGATCTCCACTAAAAAGGCTCAGGGAGGTTAAGGGGGTAGGCTAGGTTACCTCAGTTAGGATGTGGCAGAGCTGGAGCACAGGCCAGCGGACCCCAAAACCCACATACACACCAGGCATCTGCCTGGCTGTGGCATCTGCCGAGCCCAAAGTAGCAGTAATCCAATTGCTTGTGTTGTTTCTAAATTTGTCCTCATGGTCTAATATGTTTTGCAGCATCTAATATGTGTTGCATCTAGAGGTGGGAAATCATATCGTGTGGCCTCTGCAGAATTCTGACTGTGATCTGGACACTCAACTCTTAAGTCAATTCATTCCTCTATATTTTTCACCAAGGCCTTCCAAAGGGATGCATTTATCCTGCTCGGCCAGTCTCTCTAACCTCACCTCCTATTACCCCTCTAGCACTGCAATCCAGTGACATTAGCTTTATGGCTCATCTGCAACCACATGGAGTCTACAGCCATTTTCTTATCGGTCTCATAGTTCTTTTAAGTGCTTACAACTCTTCACCTTTTTAAAAAATACAAAGCTTCTTACCCAGTCCCAGAAATTAAATCAATTTCTGCCATCACTTATTCCCACACCTGCCACTTACCCTCTGATTTTCTTCTGGTTCTTAAAAGCACAGCAGTGGCTTGGATAAGAAAGGTCAGCCCGTGTGAGGTGAAGGAAGCTTAAGGAAAGTGGAAGTTTCTTTAGAGTCCAAGTATTTCTTGCTATCAGTTCCTTCAGGTGCTCGAGGCCCTTGGAGGGCAGGGCGGTGACACTGGTGTAAGAGATGTCCCTGGGATATAGAGAACAGAACAAAACAGAGGGGTGGTGAGCAACCAGAGTTTCTGAGTCCTTGGCAGAAAAAGTCACAGAGGCTTGAAATTAATGGGGAGATGACACACTCCTTCCTGCTCTTGAGTATATACTCTGATCTAAGGAGGGATATTAAGCTTCTGGTTGATGTGTTACAAGTGACTCCCACTTTTATTGCCTGGAACTCTGGCATCCGTCAGTACAATCATAGTTCAGCAGACCTTTTATTTTATCCATTGCAATCCACGCCAGCTCATGAAATTGGAGATGGATGTCAATTTTACTAAGGAAAATGATACCAGAGTACTAAGAAAGGGCCTCAAGAGGTATGAGGAATACATCTGAACAGGCCCAAAGGGCCTAAGTTGCTCTGGCTCTGTGGGAAGTAGAGTTTGCTCACTGATGTGGATCAACATCCCTGTCATGGAAATTTCCTGATAACATGGAACTTGGGGGGCCATAACATATTACCCGTTGAGTTCATGCCTTGATCCACCTCCCACAGTGTTTGGAGGCTGTGCATGCATTTCTGCAAAGAAGATCCCAGTGACAATATTAATAATCTGAAGTGAACAATTCAAATGACTTCTGAAAACGAGAGTGACAGGAAGGATGAAGAAAATGTAAATGGTTGCTCACGTAGAATTTAATACATGGCTTTTAGGGTGACAATCCTGTTCTCTTTTCAATCCCAGGTTATGTATCATGGCTCATCATTTTTACTTCCATTAAATAGTAACTCTCCTAAGACTCTGAATGTTGAATCTTAACATCTCTCTTATCTTATCTTATCATCTCTCTCCCTTATATTTTTGCATAGTTTATAATTTTAAATAATGTTTTACAGTTACATTTAAGATAGTTAATATAATCAGTAGCGCTAATTGGCAATGAATTACAATATTGATAACTCCTTCCTCCATATCTTGGTCATTAGGTTGATTAGAATCAGGGTCATTAGATTTACACCCTGGGGGCTTGGGGTTGCTAAAACTTGCTAGTCATTTTCTACAAACACAAAGCTGGAGTATTTTTTAAAAGATTTTATTTATGCATACAGACTTAGGGTACAGGCCAGAGGTGCAGGGGTGGTGAGAGGATTCACCAGAGACAGAGTGGGGAGCAGAACAGGCAGATTGATGAAATACACTGCTGGGGGGAGCAGGGGGTGAGACAGAAGATGTCTGCTACACCTTGTGGATCACCTCTGGGGCCTGGGGATTGAACTAGCACTGAAGCCACTATGGCCAGCTGGCAGTGCTGTACTCCAGTTTGCTGTGCCATCAGGGAGGGCCCCACAAGGCTTCAGTATTAATGCCATTCTTACCACAAAACTGTGGTTCTTGGAGAAAGGTACCACATTTGCTATTTGCTTTGTATTAACTTTTATAACTCTGTAATTTAGCATCTCCCACATTTGCCTGATGATAAGAGTTACCACTGGTGTCTGTCATATGATCCCCAGGCAATTTTTAAAATTAAGCAATTACTCTTGGGAAACTGGCATAAGTGAACAACTATATAGTTAGTGAGAGAATTGGGGTATTTTAGACCCAGCCTTAGAAATAAATTAATGTGCTTTATTCTCCTTTCTTATCTGTCCTTTGAGGCACCTCTTTATTAGCCATGATGTCGTCAAGATTTGGCCATCTTTTGGTCTCCATCTTTCTGGAAGCAATGCATATGTCTCTTTATCCAGTGATGCTTTCATGTCAGTGAACAAGAGAGCTTTTCTGGGCTCACTTTACACCTGCTTTGATGTCTGTTGGATATGCTGTGTATTCAAAGAGTTAATCCTTCCAAGGAGTGTTTACATTTCAATACTTATTGCTTGAAAAAACACATTAGCAACCACTGTATTTACTGCATGACAGAACACTCAAAACAAACAAGCTTTTATTATATGCAGTTTTTGTGGGTCAGGAGTTTGAACAGGCCATAGTGGGTATGGCTCATGTCTGCGGGGCAGCTGGGGAGAGTTGAGGCTACTCAGTGGCTGGGATTTTCTGCTGCCCCTTTACCTGCATATCTGGATCAGGGCTGGGAGGACTCAGAACTAAACACTATCAGGATTTTGTTGCGGCCTCTCTCTGTGGTTTGGGCTTCTTACATCCTGGTTGTGAGATTCTGGGAGGAAGCTTCCTGAGAAGAGGCGTCTGGAACATTCCAAGAACAGTGGTAGATTCCAGGGACACAGAACTCACCTCTCAATGGGAGGAGTGTCAATGAATCTGGTGCCTTATTTAAAAACTGCTTTAATGATACAAGCTAGTGGATGTTATTGAGGTGGGTAACTGGTGAAGACTGGTAATTCATCACTCTGAGTAGGGGGGGGTTTCTGGTCCAGGAGCCACCCTGGACCAGTATCAGAACTACAATACAGCCACACCCTCAATCAGTTGAATTATAGCCCCTGATGGTGGAGCCCATGAATCTGCATTTTTTCAAGGGCAGAGCCATAACTATAATTTAGGTTTAGATTTTTTAGGTTCACTGTTTTTAGGAGATTTGTATCCCTGAGCACTAAATCTCTAAATGCAAGTCCAGGTGCAGCAACCCTGCAGGGACTCAGAAATCTGGGAGAGAGGAACTGGTTCCTTGGTTAGTTTGAGTGCCTGCAGCGAGCATTTCTCAGGTGGCTTCTAGTTGGGTCCTAGTGGGGCCAAGTCAGGAGGATGCTTGGAAAGGGCATGCAGAAAGCATGTGTATAATGTACATAAAACCTTATGACAGAACTTCTGCACTTACTTGGCATATAGTAAGTGCTCAATAAACATGAATTACCTCCTTGCTCCATCTTGGAGTTTATCTGTCTCAAGTCCAGTTTAGATCTTGACTGGTGTCCAATTTCTTGCTTGGAATCTGCAGCTGGATGTCTCACAGGCATCACCAACTTAATAGGCGCATCCCAAACTTAGTTTTTGATCCCCCATCCCTACTTCAACTGACCATTCCTCTAGTTAATCTAGCAAGAAACCTGTGGATTTGGACCTGGAAGAATCTTGAATCTGTTATTTGCACCTCTAGTTAGGCTCTCTAGTTTAAGCTATGTTATCTCTTGTGATCACTTCCCTGTCATCTTAGTTTCTTCAAATTCATTTTCTGCATGGCAGTCAGGGGCTTAGTAAGGTCACTCTTCTCTTTCAAACTTTTGCAGTCATATCCCCATACCATTAATTACATCTAATGTACCTCATATCCTTTCAACTTCCTGCCTATCTGGCCCTTGCCAACCTTTCTAACCTCACCTCTGGGTCTGAGGACACTTATTTTCAAATTATAATCCATCTGGTGCCATCTCATACCCTGCTGGCAGGAGCCACTTGACGTGGTTCTACAACTCCATTAAGCCTGGCACTCGTGAAGTGCTTCTGAGGGGAGCTGCCCTCTCCTGATGCAGGCTGTACCCTGCATGCTAGTTAGAGAAATACACAGTCAAGTAGGGAGAACAAATACCCTCTCCAGCGCCTTCTCCCCATCCTCTCTCTCTCTGCATTTAAACTCCCTTGCAGAAATCTGCAATTTTAACCACAAGGTCTTGGTTTTCTATTTTCCAGTAATTCTGCTTCCCACCTCCCTGATCGCTCTGTTTCCTATTCTTTGGCCACCATCTTGCAGACCTTCATCCTGAAGCCTTGCCCTTGCCCTAGATGTAGGCCACCCATATTTACCCCAAAATGCAATTGAGGTAGCTCAACTGTTTATATGTCTACAGTCTCACCGTCCTTATTTCTTCTACTTCACTATAAGTCTGAGTTACCTGTCACCTGAGATTTACAAAACCTTTCTGGCTTCCAGGAAATGTCTGCCAATCCCACCTCCAGATTTAAGATAGAGCGTTCCTAAAACTTGGGTCTCGTCATACTCTTCTCCACTGAACTCAGACTTCCTGCAATGTCTGCAGAATGAAATTCAAGTTTCTTAGCAGAGTATCAATAGGATCTCTTCTTGAATCCCTGTGGTCATTCCGATTCTTTCCTTCCTTTCACTGGACCACATTTTCAAGTAATTTCTTAAAAAGGCCAAAGGGAAGAGATACTTTCTGAGTGGTTGCATGTCTGAAAATGACATATCCCCCCCTGCTCTTACATTCAGTTGACACATGACCTGGCTGTAAAACTTTAGGTTGAGAATCACTTTTCTTCAGAGTCCTATAGGTTTTATTCCACTGCGTTCTAGTACCGAGTGAGTGTTACTTCTTGAAGGAATGATGTGATTCAAGTTCTGGCTCTTTGATCAGTGACTTATTTTCAACTCTCTGGCCACTCTTATGACATTATCTCTCTCTTTACTTTTCTTCCAGCTTCACTGACATATAACATACATTAATGCAGGTATGAATTGACACATGTATATATCAGGAAATGGCTCTGTGTCCCTGTTTCTGTCCCTGGTATGTTGTCCAGGACCTGTGTATTTCAGCTCCAGGACAATGCTGGTATTGCTTCCAGAATAACTTATTCCTCTCACTTTCTATGTTCTCTCTTTGGAGAAAAATGAACCTCCATGAACATCCAACATTTTTCCATCTTTCTCCTATTATGTTTCCTTAGGCTTCTGCTAGAAGTTCTTGATTATATATGTCATCTCTTCTATTGAAGTTTAAAAATTTATTAATAAAAATTTCTTGGCCCTCCCTGGTGGCGCAGAGGGTTAAAGCACTGTACTGAGAAGCTAAAGCCACTTCCGCATGAGTTCAATCCCCGCCTGCCCCGGAGGTGACCACATGGCGTGACAGACCTCGCCTGGCCCTCAGCAGTGTACTTTGTCGATTTATTTATTTGTGCATACAGAACTGGGGTACAGGCCAGAGACTCAGGGGCAGCGAGAGGCTTCACCAGAGACAGAGTGGGGAGCAGAACAGGAAGATTGACGAAGTACACTGCTGAGGGGAGCAGCGGGAGAGTCAAGAGGGGTCTGCCACGCCATGTGGTCACCTCTGGGGCAGGCGGGGATTGAACTCATGCAGAAGTGGCTTTA